TATCATGTTGGTGTTAATTTGAGGGCTAAAAGTGTAATTTCACAATGATAATATATCTTTTTTGTCATACACAATTCCAAAGGCTGTTCCGTTTGCGTCGTTTGTGAATTACAGTCGCTTTTTACGACAACTATAGTCTACAAATGTGATCTTTCGTCAGAATCCTAGCCCACAATCATAGTCATTATTTTTGTGTTATCCGCTTAACCAATATCAAGACACATCACTAGACATAATGTTGACGTCAAATTATACTTTTAGCCTTTAAATTAACACCAACACAGTAGAAGATCAAAAAGGACCATTTGTTGAAAGGTACCCTTAAAAAAAGGACTACGAGGTAATATTTGATAATAGAGGACTAAATATGGAAACCCCCCTGTTATAAAGGACTAATTATAGAATTTACTCTATGATTAATCTATTCTACACATTTCATCCTACTATTTATAAAGTAAAGGCAAAATTAGAAAATAATACCAAAATTACTCATTTTAAATGCGCGCCATTTTTGAAACGGGAAATGTTTCATGGGACGGAGGGAGTATATTAACTTGTTACTTTATTTTTTTAAAAAAAATTATTTTTTAAATTATTTAGAAGTTTTTGTCGGTTGGGCCGGGACAGTCCGAAGCCCGCGGGTAACCATGCGGGCCGGGTTTGGGTTTCAATTGTTAGGCCCGTTATACGGGCTCGGGCCGGGCTCAGGCCTAGGAAATTCTCGTAAAGTAGTGTCTCGGCCCGGCCCGCACTTTGATCAGGTCTATTCGCGATATACTCCCTCTGTCCCAATTTAAATTGCCTATTTCAATTTACGATATTTGACTTAAATTATTTTCAAATCATTTTATGTCAAAATTTATGTAGAATTAAAAAATACTCGTAAAATTTATAAATTTAAAACTACATCTAAAGATCTACAAAAGTAATTAAGACTTAACTATACTATTATATCAAATAATTAACGAAAAGAGAAAAAGAAAGTAAATAAGATTTAATCCTATAAAAAATAAAGATGCAGTTGCATTTGAGATGGCGAAAATAGTACTACCTCCGTCCCAGAATACTTGTTCACTTTCATTTTTACACATCATCCAACACACTTCTTTAATCCATTTTATCTTGTAATTTGTATATTAAAAAATTATAGAAATTATATATTAATAATCTATATGTTAAGACAAATCAAACAAGATCACACATGACTATATTTAGGCTTACACATTGAAAGAATTTGATGAGTCAAAGTGCTTAGATGAACAGTTCCAAAAGTCAAAACTGGACGAATACTTCGGGACGGAGGGAATAAAATTAGACACCATCATCATCATAATAAAAAAAAGTTGAAGAAGACTTCCTTAAACCGAAAAACTGTGACAGGGAAGTGAGGGAACACCGACTTGTTTGAATTTTTGAAAAATAGTACTGTACTAGGTCTTATACTGTATTTTTCCACTTATTATATTGCTCGTAACATATAATATTAAAAAAATACCCGTACTATAGAAGCATGTATACTCTATCACATTCTCGTAAATCGTAATTCAATAAACTTTTTGAGGATAAAAATATACCACTTTTATTTTACAGATAAAAGTCATATTTTATTCTTATTTTCAATGATTTCTTTAAATAAAAATAATATACTCTCAGTCCCATAATGGATTATTCTTCAAATAACGTGCAAAACCTTGATTTTTAAATTTGCTATATTTTCAAATGGTATAGAATTTTTTTAAAATACTTTTCGGTACATATCACAAAAGTTGACAAAACTATGTAAAATTTCTATTGTCTCGGAACTTTTCATGTTATGATTTTTTTGTCTAAATATGACAATCTTTGACCACAATTAAGTATAATCTAAATAAACAAGTATTGTAAAAATTTGATATATCAAACTTTATCTGTCGATCATAAGCTGAACCCGATTATATTAAATTTATATTATAATTCAATATACTTTTCTCACAATTTGTAATAAAAAAGTATTACTATTCAACTAAAAAAGTCAAAATATGAAGAGTTTTAGGAACGAAAGGAGTACAAAAAAGAAGTAAAAAACATCATTTTATCAAATAATGAATGATACCATGCAAGTAAACAAATATTCAATAGGGAACTAAATTAGCACATGCGCTGCATATCTGAATCCTGCATTGCCTGGAAAAAAGAATGATAAACATAGGAAGAGCTTGAATCAACAGCAATTGTCGTGGTGGCGGTATTTCCAGCCCCGCATAGCATGTACAAAGCACTTAAAGCCGGCCTCTCTTTGGAAGCCGCATCTGCAACAAGTATATACTAGTGAAGTTTCAAACTATGTGTGACCAAGAATTTTGCAGGATTCTTATAGCCGCGGAAGGGAAGAATAGATGCGGACTTATCTCTTTTCCAAAAAATTGTCATGCGTATTTTAGAAGACGCAATTTGTCGAAAAAATTGTTAACCCAAATTCCAAAAATTAAAAATTCAAGTGAATTTTTAGCACAACACTTTGTCCAAAAAAAAAAAAAAAATTTGAACCCCAGCCACGGGCTTTTCCCATTAGACCCCGCAGGCCCTGCCGCCCCTTAAACCCTGCTCAGGGGTGCTATCCCCAAACCCCCTCCAATGGGGCGTTGTCCCCTTGAATCTCCCGTTAAACTAAGACTCTTATCATAACAAACTCAACGAAGCGTACACTCCACACCACCAAACTTGTTTGATGATTATTATGATGTCATTTGTGAAATAGTTATTCTAATTGCACTAAGGCTTCGTTTGGTACACGGAATTCAAAGTATAAAATTTGAATTGGGGACAACAATTCAAATTCTATTGTTTTGTAGCACAAAAATATGAGGATTTGGAATTAATAGTCCCAAAAATGAATTGGAATTGGAGAATTCAATTCCATCCAAATCAATTTCATAGAATTTCAACTCTCAATTCAATTCCAATTCCATCAATTCTGTGTACCAAATGGACCCTTTGAATTTGGGGGCCATTTGGTACACAGAATTAATGGAAATGGAATTGAAATGGGAGTTGAAATTCTAGGGAATTGATTTAGATGGAATTGAATCTTCCAATTCCAATTCATTTTTGGGACTATCAATTCCAAATCCACATATTTTTGTACTACCAAACAGTAGAATTGGAATGTTTGTCTCTAATTCCAATTCCAAAGTTGGAATTCTGTGTACCAAACGGAGCCTAAGACTCCGTTTGGTACACGGAATTCAAACTATGCAATTGGAATTGGAGACAACATTTCTAATTTTAGTGTTTGGTAGCACAAAAATATGTGGATTTGAAATTGGTAGTGTCTAATATATTGGAATTGGAGAATTCAATTCCATCCAAATCAATTGCATAGAATTTCAACTCTCAATTCAATTTCAATTCCGTCAACCAAACGGACCCTAAAATATGCAAAGTATAACAATTACTCGGTAAAATGAGTTCTTTAGTGAGTAGCAAAAAAATGGAATGATGATTTTCATTAGTGTTTGACTCCAATGTCTAACCTTAGACTTTGTAGTCCTCCATCCTGTTGCTTTTGTATTATCAGGAGTGTAAGAGAAACTCTCAATGGCACTGGGATCAGTCTTCGCAGTGGTGCTCGACCATGTCGGATTATTATATGGAGGGGAAGAGAAATTCTCAATGGAACAAGGACCAGCTTTCCCACTGGTGCTAGAGCCAGGGCATGGCGACAATACCTAAAATGTTCATATAAAGATTACCCCTCCTCATATATTTATATATACAATCAACTCTCTTAAATACCCACATGCATCACGAAAGTGATAGTCTAAGCATTATAGTAATCAAGTGACAGTAGGTGGGAAAAAACTAGATAAGTAGGTTACCGCTTTTGATGCTTCCGTGGTCTTTATCAAGAGGGAATCTGAAAAAAATAGTATCTGCAAACAGACAAGAGTACAAATGGGATGTGAGTTTCTAAAAAAAATTATTTATTTCCATAAACCAAATGTCCCAAGTAAAAGATTGATGATACATCAAACATGAATAAGGCTTAATGATGTGCTCAAACAGTGCAGGCCAAATACACACCTTGTTAAGAAATTGGATATTTGAAGCATCAGCAGCTGTGACTTGTACACCAAGGCAATTGGTGGGCTTGTCACAGAAAGGGCAGAAAACAGTTTTGAATACACATCCATCATCCTTACACCAAATCTCCTGATCAGAAATGCTTTCACAAGTTCTATTGTAGATTTGTTGATCAATTGATCCAATGTCGGAAATCAAAATAGGGATGCTTGTTGCTCCCAAATCAAGATCAAGTTTCCTCTGCCAAAGTGTTTTTAAGTGAACCTTTGTTAATGAAGTCATTGAACAATTAACTATGAAGTTGTTATGAGGAAGACCCAATGCACGTTTGCAACTTGAGCAAAAAAGCTGTAGTTTATTGTCCATGGCAAGGGTACGAAACATGGATCTGTAGTCCTCCGATGTGCTGATCAATGAATCACTATCAATACCCATGTTTTCACCTTTGATCTCTCTTAACCAGGGCTCAGAGCAATCAATTGGAGCGGTGGAATCTGTAGAATCAACTTTGTCTGCCTCAAAATGGCGAACGAATGATAAATCGAAGTGTTTTTTTCTTTTCTCTGAACGCGAATTTACACTAGAATTTATAGATGATTCTACCTCAGGAGTTATACAATTACCCAACGCACAAAGATGTTTTTCTGGGGTGCTAGTCAAACAATTTAGATCTTGCATGGATGTAGTATTACGACATGCTGAGTTGTCTATATTTCCAACAGATGCTTGAATGAATGATGAATTGGAAAATTCTTTGGAGAAAGATTCGGGGGAAGTTGAATGAACAGTGCCACTGGCCCTAGGAGTTCTCTTAAAAAAAGTTGATTCTTCAGAGTCACTACTGAAAGCTGCCATCAGTGCTTCTTTGGAGCACCTAAGGCTATTATTTATCAAATATTATTACACAATAATAGCATGAAATCTCATCATCTGATTATCATAGACACTAATAAGAGCAGCAGTGTATTGGCATATGCAAATTCATTTGAAGACTGGAAACACAAGCATTGACTGGGTAGGCGATCATCTGCTGCTAGGTAACAGATGAGGGGGAACAAAAATTTACCCCCCACCCTGCAACTAGCTTCTCTTTTTTTTCATTTGTCTCAAAATTATGTTCCCATTCCATGTTGGAAAGAATTGTATGGTGCTTTTTTCTTTAGAAATAAATCTCAACCACAATTTTATTTTTGTAATAAGTGTGCAAAAGCAAACATGGAGCGAATTTAAGGACAGATTGAATAACATCAAATCGTAGCATATTAGGAGCAATCAAGAGTCACCTGGATCTATTTGGAGAATCACATTCCAGATCAATGTGTTTTCTATTGTCTTTAGAGTTCTCTTCGTTCGTAGACTTAAAACTCTGAATACCAAGGCTCACTACTTGGATCTTACTTGACGAAGGCTTATCCACAAGATTAGCAACAGAGCTTTGGGTGGTGGCATCAATTGACCTCCCATTACGTTCCTGGTTAAATGCCGGAAAAAACAATAATAATTATATTTTGCAGTTAAGACTTAAAATCATCCCCTCCCTCATAACCCAAAAGAAAGACTTGTCACTGGAGTACCTTGATGTCTCTGAAAAAGAATTTCAACCTGTCCAATGCATCATCAAGGCATTCATATTCTTTAATCGAATTTCGCAACCACTTTGAAATGTATGCCCTATTTCTTGCCTCACAGAACCGCTCATCTGCATGTAAAGGAAAACATCAACAATCTCTCTGAGAAATGATCCCTATGTCCCAATATAAACTTCATAGGAAGATGTGGCACACTTTCGAATGAAGAAAAATTGTGCATGAAAAAGGACATAGAAGTTTTTATTTGGACAGAGGGAGTGTCCGACAAGTTGTATTAAATCAGCAATGCCTATATCAGTAATCACTTAACAAGTATTAGCCAAATACTACGAAAACAGAATGCACATGAATGACTTCTTTATGATTTCCAATTACATGTATCCCAGTTTTGTTAACTAATTTCTTCTGTCTACTAATTTCCATGTACTGGTAAAACTACTTCGGCAAACAATTTCTTCAAAATAAAATAAATGTGCATCAGATAAGTACCTAAAAAAATGATGGCCCCATAGTCAAATTTATGTCGAATACAGCGACCTACAGGGAATAAAGGAAATGAGTATCAGGATCAAGACAGCAGAGTATTTCCCTGACTGAAGATGAGTACAACGAAAAATATCCCGAAGGAAACAAAGGAAAACAGATTGAGTTAAATATGAATCCTTTTATAAATCTCAAGATAATGCCATACAAAGGAAATATTAAGAGAAATTAGTCCAGTCACTGTCAAATTTTACACACCATATGTTCTTCATGTTAATTCCGTTAAATGGAGGCATAATGCTACCATAATCTTTAAACTTGCAATAACTGGGCACACAAGTAATTAAAATGTTACTTGGTAGCAACTTGGTCAAAGCCCGAGAAGGGATTAAGACCAAATACTCGAGAGTATTGGAGTATTACTCAGTCCTGTATTAGTAAATTTAAAAACCAAACTGCTGCACATTTGTAATAACATTAGTAAAATAAGTCTGATATACTCCCCCGTCCCATATTAAACTTCTCATGTGCTTTTTCATGGAGTTTAAGAAAAAATGAAATTTTGTGGTTGAAATTTATACAGAGGAGAGAAACAATGTGAACCATTTAATGTTTTCCTTAAGAGGAATGGGAAGTTAATTTTGGGATAAACCCAAAGGAAAGTGGAAAATTTATTTTGGGACTGAGGGAATACTTATGAAGAAAAAACAATAATCTACACCCACAGCATGACTAATAAAGCTTCTTAACAAGGATCCTCAATTGTAGGCTTGCTTCAGTCAAAGTTGTTGATAGTTGTTTTCTGAACCAAGGTTTTTGTAAAAGTGATCACTGCTAAAAGGAACTTAGGCAGAAATTTGTAACTTGTACTACTATGGTTCGTTGTTGTTCTTCAATTTGATTTTTCAAATCTTTCAAATTTGACGGCAACTGAGTTACTTGTCAAGTAAAATGAGTCACCAATGAATGTTAATCGCCAAGTACTGTCTCTGGGTAACTTGGTTTCATAAATCATCTGACCATGTAGCCTACTCAACATGGTCTTGGGTTAACTAGTGTGTACTCACCAGTAAAACAATCTAGTTTCATGGTTAGTGCAACATTTTTATCATGTTATGTAATACGGAGTATTAACTAACACATGGCAAAACAAAGATAGTACAACAACAACAGTCGACCCGGTAATATCCCAAGATGTTTAAGCCTTATATAGAGCCTTGGCCGAAGAATAGGAATTGGAGAAGCTAATCCTACCCTTATTATGATTAAGTAAGACTACTAGAATTTTTGAATTCTATAAAAGAAGCTAATCCTGCCCTTGTGATGATTAAGTAATACTAGTAGGATTAAGAAGTCTACTAGACTAAAGATTTAGGTAAAAGAAGCTTTTCTAATCTTGTTGCATGGTTTTAAAAGCCGACCAAGGCGGTTGCATTTTGCCTCTGAGGCTCCTCAGTGGCATACGCCTCACAATGTTGAGGCGGTCCAAGGCGGTAAGGCGTAACTGAGGTATAAGCCTCACTTTTAATAAGAATTTCAACAATTATAACAATTATTTTTAAAAAGCTATTGGGCCTCTTTACAAAAACTCTATATAGTTTCTTAAGAAAAAGTTAATAAACCTAGTAGATAATTAACACTTCTTTCCAAGACTTCAACGTCAACTTTTGTCACTCCATCTTCAACCGTACTTCTCTCCATCTTCAAACTTCGGTGGACCAAATTCACTCTTGTGGTAGCCGCTAAGGTAATTGCTTCATATTTAATAGCTTATCTCCTATTTCTTTCTTCTTCTTCTTTCAACTTTTAATTTTTTAGGTCCTTTTCCGACATCCCTCTCCCTCTTTTAAATTTGGTTCAAGCTTCAAAGAATGATGTAACTTTTTTTGCGTGAACTTTTGTCCATATTTAATATTAATATAAGGTTTGAAGATGCGTTTGAGACATTTGTGTTTACGTTACTGTGTTTAATTTTTAAATTCTATTTTTTTTGTTTTAGAAATTAAGATAGGGCATCATTTTTTGTAAATGTAAGGATTTATGACTATCATTTTTTGTAAAATTCAGGATTTATGACTTTATCATTTTTGTAAAATTCAGGATTTATGACTTTATCATTTTTAGATTTTCATCAAATTGAACTGAGACTTACGCCTTGTTAACGCCTCAAGGCATTTTGCTCCACCGACTCAAGGCTAGTTTTCGCCTTTCAAAACCTTGTCTTGTTGCATACAAAAATGTAATAGACATAAATTAAATATTTAGGAAATAAACTTCTATGGAACACAAAAGTTGCCAAACATGGAATCTTGAATCTTGAGTCTTGAAATCTTGATTCATGAAAATCTAAATTACTCTTTCTTTTTCCCTCTACCCTTTCACGCCACTTATGGAATATATTAATAAAATAATAAGGAAAGTCTTTCTCTTCCCACACATGGAATATTTTGTGTATTTTGTTCACATCAAAATTCCTTCATTTCCGTGCACATCTGTATGCAAGGCTTCTAAACCATGCTAAATTGACATGACAATCAAAGAACCATCATCTAACCCAACACTCAAGGGGTGTACCTCTAGTCCTCTACTAAGAAAGTGAAAAAAGAAAGCGGAAATGGAGAAAATGCAAGGGCAGAGACTTCTATGTATGATCAGACCAAATTTGTGATTAATAATACACGTTATGAGCTCAATTGGTCAAAAAAAAAGTTCCCCTTAATTTCAAACTTCCAATTTCATGTGAGCTGTATGTGTTATGTTATTCACATCAGAGTTTTAGTGTCATTAAAGCCACCTAAGCTCCCTCGACACACTTCGCATTAAACATCACAACACTGGACCGAAAGAATGCTGAAGTGAATACAATACAAGACTAGTATAGAAATGAGTTGTTACCATTTTATCGCAATTTGGAAATAACAAGAAAATAAAGACAAAGGACTTCATAAAACAATCTCATATAAATGATTAAGAAGATATCATATCAGAATTTTTTAGAGGTGCACCTGTAGCTTGATTAACAGCTCGAAATGCTTGCTGACAGTACCAATCACTACCACTAAGAATGTTTTTTGAGTGCTTATAGCAATCATTGAACCTCTTCTTAAGTGCAACTCGAATATCATTTCTGATCATCCACAGTAGGAGTGCAACAAATTAAACACAAGCAAAATAAACAAATAAGAAAAATATGTTGTGTTTCTCACATGTTTGGAAAGGGAATCCCAACAACTATCTGAAATAAGAATTAAGAAGCCCGAGTCATGATTGAAACGCCAACTAAAAAAACATTTGAACAAAAATGGCATGTATATACAGTACTACTCTACTATTTTAACTAAGCTTGTGCTTTACTGAGAGCCAGAGATGTAATTTTGAAACCTCATTAACAGAAAGCCAAACAAGAACACATCATTATCAAATATAATCGTCACTAGAAGTAAAGAATAAAAGGTATGCAGTATGCACATCAATAAGGGCAAACAGAAAAAGGATACAACCACTCTAGCCATCTCATCAGAGAAATCAATGCCTTCAGAAACCTGCAGTAATCAAATTTGGTTTCAAATTAAAGTTTACTTAATAAGTTGTACACTTTGAAAACTCAAAAGATAAAAAATGGGGTGGCAAGTAATGACATATCAAGGTAGCAAGCTAGAAATATCACGAGTAATTAGGATGTTAGATTGTTAGTTCTTTCAGAGAGTTAATACTTGACAACCTTTCTCCTACTTGTGTATATAGGTTTTTTGTGTGATTCACTTGTAAGATTTCATAATATTGAATACATGTACTTTTTATTTTCTCGACACCAAACAATCAATCTCTTATGAAATGGAGGACATTGGTGAAAGAGTGAGACACAACAAAATCATTTGCTCTCCTTGTCAAATGTTTTATGTCTACCTAATTTCTCCTTGCTTTTAGTCTCTGCGAGCAAACCTTGTGTCACTTTTTTTTCAAGGCCACTATTTGTTTTAGGATCTTTTGACTAAGAAGACTATTGGTAAAGGACATGAGCAATCACTGTGGTGTCCACTACACCCTTGAAACCTCCATTCCAAAAGCAATGACTTGTTTAGGAGTCAAATCAGACCTTGAAGTCCATTGTTGTTTGTGCCATCCATTTCTCCCTTTGCACCTTGATAGAATTTAAGATGGGGTTAGGATAACTGGATTGGGCAATAAGACATTTGAGCTAAACCACATTAAAAGATCGAATTCAATCAATTACTTAGTTCAACTCAAGAGCTTATATACTGATTATTGTCTTCACACTTTTCTGATGTGGATACTCTCTAACACTCCCCCTCAAGTGGACAATCGGGCAATTTTGAATTTAACCAGGTTACCACTTCCAAATGGACTCCCATCCCCTTTTTTTAGCGTCAACACCTAAAGGACCACGAGCCGTTGGGTATGAACTTTCAGGCGAGCAATCGGGTTCCAAAGGCTGTTGGATATAGATTCCACACGAACAACTAGGCTAAAGACTAGGGCTGCTAGGAACAAACGTCTAATTGGACACCTTAGCAAAGGAGGTGGGCTAAAACTGACTCTGATACCATGATAGAAATATAGAATTTAAGATGGGGATAGGATAACTAGATTTGGCAATAAGACACTTGGGCTGAACTACATTAAAAGATTGAATCCAATCGATTACTTAATTCAACTCAAGAGCTTATATATCAATTATTTTCTTCACACTTTTCCGATGGGGATACTCTCTAACACACCTCTCCCATTGCTAAAGCAATCTTATCCTCAATTTCAACATGTAATGCCTTTAAATTGTGATTATGATAATAAGGTGACGGTATCTTAGTTTATTATTACCATGTTGATATGATATTAACAAGATATTTTAGTTTATTATTATCATGTTGATATGATATTAACAAGATATCTTAGTTTATTATTTTCATGTACCTTTAAATTGTGAACATGATATCAGTTTATTATATACAGCCATATTGGACTTTGTAAAAAAATTAATAAGGTGACAGTTTCTCTCTCTAACAATGGGGAAGAGAGGACGACCGCCGAAGGCTGACAGAAAATCAATGGGAGATGCCGTGGCTTCTTTGTCTGCAGGAAAGGAGCAGCAATCGACAATACCATCTGCAACGACATCTTGCACCAAGGGATCTGACACAGAGAAAGTGACATCTCCAGAAACTGATCGCAAAGAGGAATCGGTCGTGACTCCAATCCTTCCAGAGACTGATCCTATACAGAACAAAGCATTGGAGTCCGACATAAAGCTGAGGAAAAATTATGTAGAAGCCGTGGGAATTCAGGATGATCTCAATCTGGATCTAAGGTTTATACAAGCTGAGATGATCGACGGACAACCAATTGCGCGTCTAACACAAGAAGATGTCAATGAGCCACGTAATTACTGGAATTCGGCGCCCATATGTTGTATTTTGGGAGCAAACCCCCCTTTGGAAGTAATCAAAGAGTTTCTCTCGGATTTGGTCATTTGGAAATCCTATGAAAGTGATGGCATATCCTTCCTTAAGGAAAGCCAATTCACTGAATGGAAAAATCTCTCCCTACCAGCCCCCTGTCTGTGTTCATCTCTTTCCTAGGTTTCCTTTCCCTCGCCAAACTATTTTATCATAGGAAAAGTAAGTGATTCTTCTACCTGGGTAACTCATCATCCCATGACATGTAGCTTCAGTCTCAACATATATCACTTCCATCACAAGTAGATTTAGAAAATACAGTATAGATAGCATGTTTCATTCTAAAAGAAAAAAAATACAGAATAAATGAATACAGACTGGAATTATTAAAACAGAAAATGCAAAATGATGAGTTCATGCATGTTAGTTTCAGAAAGTATTAGAGCATCCAAGTGAAACATTTAGGAAAATATTCAAACTTTTGTTGAATAAACATAAGGGAGAGAAAAAAGCCTAGGGATATTGTTTCAATAGAATACCTTTCCTCTGCAGACTGCAAGAAAAGCAGCCTCTTTCTTATAACCTTCAGATGGTCCTGCTAAAACCTTTTCAGATTTTTTTACTTTCTTTCTTCCCAAGACAGGTTTACTTCCTTGGTAAACGGATGTAATTATTGGGAAGTTTTGTCTAAGTTTAAGAAGGACCGAAGGAGAACCGAGATTTATTTTTTACGGTTGGTTACTTTTTAATACCCCTTCGTCATTCGTATTATTTCGTTTTAGTCGAATGAAGGAGTGTCGGTCTTTACAACACAGGTATCAAAGATAAAAAATCAGTTCATCCAGGAAGGGAGAGATGAAAGGCTTAGAGGTTAAGTTCTGTGTAAGCCCACCCTCCCCAGACCCCACTGTGGGATTTTACTGGGGTTGTTGTTGTCAACTAGGTCCTTCATGTGCAAGTAAATAAAGCATTGATGAGAAAATGATGAACTTGGACAAATCTTACCAACAAAAAGTGGTTTTCTAGCATTAAGTCTAGCCCATTGGCCTGTTTCCTGCCAGCGACAACTAAGTTTCTCCATCAGCTTATAGCTAGGGAAAAATATAAGACAGCCACCAGGAACAATCTTGCATATTTCTTCTATAGATGTACCAAGTGAATCCTTCACAGAGAAAAAGAGAATTGATCTGAGAAAAATCGTGATTAGAGGCACGTGTTTTGGCCATCAGGTTTCGTGTGGACACCAGAATCAGCCTAGGGACGGAGACGAGGATGGTGTGAGGACACCAAGGTATAGCTCCTTGTAATATTTACTACAAAGAGACTTGTCCAGAAGTTAAGCGAGGAGAGCGTGAAGAAAACTGGGAATGCTTCGTGCTTGGTTCGGACACTTTACCCGCGTCCGGCACCATTTTATTAAATAAACGTACTTGATTTCCTATTGTTGCGACTTGCCACTGCAAATCACTGACACAGTTTCAGTAACCCATTTGGGTTCCATTGGCTAAGTTTCAATGTCAATTCTCATCTTAAAACAAAGATAGAAACTGATCTACTTTCAATTAAAGCACTATGTTAAATCATGTCTTATTAGAGCTAAACTTACAGAGTACATTTGTGGTGTTTGCGGGCTTGGAGCTATGTTCCCTTTCATGTAGTCCAATACTACCTTTATCCCAGTCTTCCCTTACAATCCTTTCCCAATTCTAATGCTCTATCAGTATGAATGACTCCACCATGAAAATTCAAAATTCCAAATACCCTCAATTCACTACTATCCTTGATTAGTTGATTCATTTCACTTGTTCATAAATTTCCTAAATATTTTTTTGATCTTAAATTTCCTAAATAATTTATTTTCATTGTATCCTTGACGTACCCGTATTTGAAATTTTGAAGATTGTTATTTCCCATCTCATATATGTTCCCGTCACTGTGCAACTTAGGTCACGGTTAGTCTAAATGGCTTAGAGTACCTGGAAAGCATATGAATCGGCGGTTTTATAACTTGCATTCAGTGGATAACTTCTAGGGCCTCTGGAGATTATAGCTGCCCATAACTGGAGATAACATTTAGCAAGTCAGCTCATTATTTATAACATATATGTGTGCATGATTATAACAAATGCCCATGATACCTGTGACTCAGTGTCTATAACATGTGGAGCTTCCAGTGATGTACTAAAAGGAACACCGAGTTCAGATGAAAAGGAGTTCATAGGTGACAGAGTCCTGTAAGAGCAAATCTGATTAATAAATGACCTTATAGGATAAATTCCAAATATGCTCTGCATATTAACAAAATTTAAAGAAGAAATAGAGACAAGTACACAAACGCAGTAATTTAGAATAAGCTCCAGGATGAAATATCCAAAGTATGTCGTGCTGAATTTCTGTGAACAAATTTTTCCCTAAGGTACTTAAATATATCACATTTTAAATTAATGCTCTTCTCTAGAACATTGTACTCCATTGGCGTTACAGCTAGTTTGGACCATAGAAGAATTTTTTAGAACTCGAAACAAAGCAAAAACTTTTAAAACCAGAGCAAATATAAATTTATCACCACTAAAACTCTAAGGAGTCTTGAATGCATTCATGAATACCCTGATGTAAGAATTACAGATAGAGAAAGATCAGCAATTTCTCTGAAGACAACAGCTGGATTCAAGCACCATAAGCTAAATGTATTTGCCCATATATTCACAGCACTTCCTGTAAATAGGGAAAGTGAATTGATTATGTTTCTGCATCATTTCCTCTTCAAAGAGCTCAATGACTTGTAACAATCTTCATATAAAACCGACTAAAACATTTTTAAAGACCTTTACTAGGAGAGTGATAAAAGAGAAGCATTGGCATTAATTTGGCACACTGATTAAGGTATTGTTGTGTGAGCTTGAGGTCACGAGTTTGAATCAGTAAGCAGCCTCTTACAAGAAGTAAGGTTTGCCTACATTACACCCTTGTGTGGACCCTTTCTCATTATGTTCATCAGGATACCCTTTAATAGGCCTTCATGATACTCAATACTCGTAGATTAAATTTAATGAGCTAACTTGATGCAAAAACGGGGGGTAGAAGAATTTGGTGTGAAAGAGTTCCTTTCAAAAATTTTAATAGGGATAAATGACTCGCCATTCCTGCAAAGCACATAAGAGCTTGTATCGCCACACCTCATGAAAGATGATTAGAGACATTCTTGCCACAAGGACACCAGATAAGAGAGACGAATCTCGCTACAAGGCCTTGATAAGAGAATTATGACGCCACAAGTATCACAGTTAATAAGTCTAAAAAGAGTATATGAACTCAAAAAAACAAGCTTATATTAATCTCAAAACTTAAAGTGATTTATAAAGAAGGAGGATGATCCTTAATATAGGCTTCTCTCTAAAAAAGGAAACAAATAAATACAATATGAATAAAAAATCATTCTTGATTTATTGGCCACATATACATTAATTTTGGCCAAGAATGATTAAATATACTAACTTCATGCTTGGTAGTCTTCTATGCATATGGAAAGTATTAATGAAATTAAATCTTTGTATATGAAAGGATTTCGTCTTGATCTACCAACTTGAATGAGCAATCTTCCAAATAAGGAAATCAAATTACCCTTAATCTCCTTCATCATTTGACTTGGCATAAATGGAAGGAAATATTTTAAATATCCATCCCTTTCTCATGCCATTTATGGTATGTTTTAAGGAAAGTTTTCCTTTTTCCTATGCAATGGACGGATGAAATATTTTGTTGATTCCTTTCATATTAATGCTCTGTTTTCCCTCAAAAAAAATGCTCTATTTCCCATGCCATTTAGGAAATATTTTGAGAACTCTATTCACATCAGAATTGCTCAATCCTTTCATCATAAAATGCAAGGATGCTTTACATTCGAGAAATGGGTAACAATTAACATTAATCAAGTGGTGTTTTTCCTTAGAAGCACGTACCAGCAACTCTTTTGATATGACGCTGAAGTGCTAGCTGATAATCGCATACATGAGCCCCATTCTCTGAGAAGAAGTAACTAAGCGACGAGAACAACCCTGGTCAGCAGCATCACATTTCAAAATCATGAATTACAGTGGAACCATTGCATAGATCTGTGACAAGATGCAGTACCTTCCAGTGCAGTTGCTGCCTTGCCACTGAGCTGAGGAACATTGGACTCTGCATCAGAAGCAACTCTGATTGCCTTCAGGAAAGTTAGCAATGGCAGCAAGTGATGCAAAAGACTTAAAAATGGCGTTAGCAATTATTTCGCCAATAAGAAAAGTAATGTTAGTATGCACTAGGTTGTTACACGTGTAATAGAGAGACAACCTTTGTAGCACACTCTTGTAATATTGGGAAGCACTGTCTTGACACATTAGCGTCTTGTAACTCCTTTAAAGCATCATCACCAGTCCAACTAAAAATCAGTTTATTAAAAAGAGAAGGTTGATTAACACTTGTTCAATGTTAGAAAATTGTCGTCTGGTGGTACACTGGTACTCATTAGCCAGCCACCAGCTAGATAGCGGAAACAAAAATAATGTAGAGATAAAAAATGAATCGAATAGAACCTATATCTGATTGAGTTGACTACGAGAACATGAATAGTATGAGCCTACAATGTGCTGTCAAACAACAGTATAAGTGGGAGATACAACCAAAAAAAGTGTGTGAGATACAACCAAAAAAAGTGTGTGAGATACAACTATGGCAGTAGGTGGTGTCATGTGAATGCTGTCACCTTGAAGTTGTAAGCTTCAAGTTATTTTATCTTCCACTATTTCAATGACAAGCAAAAAACATAGCATCAGTCAAATGAGGAGTTTACTTAGGGGGAAAATATATTGAGAGAAAGGATGAGCAAAAACAAAAGTTGTTTGTCATTCCTCATGTAAGACAATGTTGATACTAAAAAAAATTAAAATACATGGGAAAAAAGCAGGGTAGGAGCATGGAAGAAAGCTGATACGGATCTAGGTTTTAATAAGTAAATACTCTGTACTTGTTACTCTTATCAGTAGTATTATTAGGGAGTATTAGTAATAGTAGCAACAATTTCCCTTTAGTAGTTTCCTATTCTAGCTTTCCCATGTTGTGTTGTGGTCGAAATCAACTTTGGCTTTGCCAATAAATATCCTTTCAGGCTTTCATTAATTAATACTTCGTCTGAGGTATCTGTCCAGTTTGGCTTTTTTTAGGCAAATTCGGTGCACTTTTTTTGAAACAAAATTGGGCGCACTTTAACCTTCAAATAAACAAAAATTGCATTGCATATTAATACAAAAATGATTTAATTACATCTACCATAGAAAAAGACTTTCAAAAAATGATTTCATTGTATTAATGATATGCAAAACAATTTGTATTTAATTGATGATCAAAGTATAGCCATTCGGACTGAAAAGAGTTAGACGATACCCTGGGACAGAGAGAGTAATAATCATCTTTTAAGAAAATATAATTCTCCGAACAACTCACATCATCATTCCCCTCTTCAAGACACGGGCAAAAGAGATCAGCGCTCAATACTCATCCTTGGACAAGATCCTTGACATGCAGCCTCAACAGTTTGGCATCAGAGAAGCAGTGACCTGTGGCTCCATCAGCAAAAGAGAATCTAGCCTTCTAGTTGCGCGAATTCGTGGCTCCCAGTCCCACAACAACACAACTGACAGAGATGGGGGGGAGCGAGTACAAAACCCTCAAGGCCAATATAGGCAATGAGTATAAGAAAATCAAGACCAGGGTCGTGACCCTCTCCATGGACGTCTTGAAACAAGCCACAAGGCAAACACTCATAGGAGGCGAAGCGACGTGATATATCCCGGGTTACACCTTCACACACGCCACAAGTATTAAAAGAAATCAAGTGTTTAATGTCTAGGTGTTATGATCCATTTTGGGTTGAACTCATTGATCCATCCCACACCAAAACCCAAACCATGACCTATCTCTCCCAAAACCCAACCTAGGCCGAAATGCCTACAAGCCCAACCCACTCCCACGTATCCAAAAGTATTTTATTTTCATTTACTACTCAAATAAAGTCCTTTTCCTCTCCCTTGAAGCATTGGGAAGACTTACAAAGATGATATTTGGTGCGATATCATTCCCATGGACGCGTGTCACGTCCTTTTGGGTCGCCCGTGGTTATTCGACAACAAAGTGCAACATGATGGTTTTCTCAACACTTACTCCTTCCTAATGAACAAAAGAAAGATTACACTCACTCCCTTACTCCCACTTTCCTCACCCACGGCCCAAGTAAGCAACAACACCCCCCCCCATCTCTCATCTCCACTATACTCCAATCCGCATGAACTTGAAGGATGCAAGGACCTCATTCTCCTTGACCTTGAGGTGGCCGAACCCTCTCCCCCTCCAAAAGAGCCTCACCCTCTAGCCATCCCCATCCTTGAACAATATGCCCATATCTTCCCCGAAGATGTACCTCACGGCCTACCACCAAAGAGAGATATCCAACACAAAATCGACCTCATTCCCGGGGCTGCCTTACCAAATAAACCAGCCTATAGAATGAACCCGGAGGAAACAAAGGAGATACAATGCCAAGTGGATGAACTACTAGTGAAGGGCTTTGTTCGTGAAAGCCATGGTTTTAAAAGGCGTTCAAGGCGGACCGCCTCGAGGCGGTAAGGCAGGCCTTTTAAGCCTCAGAGGCATAAGCCTTGGTAAGGGTATGTGAGGCGTACGCCTTGCCTGGCCGAGGCGGTACGAGGAGGTTGAGGCGGTGAGGCAAAACTGAGGCGGTAGCCTCGATTCAAATTAAAAATTCATCACCTATGGGTTAAATGATACTCCATACAAAGGAATTGGGCCTTGAAAAAAAATCTTGGGCATTAGATATTTGTTAAAAACTTCTTACAATGGATAAATTAGGATTTCTTTTGCTTGTACTTCAGCCTCTCCATCCTCAACCTAGCACAGTGCAGCTTCTCGCGCAGCACTTCAGCCTCTCCATCTTCAACTTCAGCACCCCCTATCTACAACACACATTTTGTTCCTTCGGTCTCTCCATTTTCATAACATAACTGCTTCATATTCTTTTTTATGGACAAAAATTGCTTCATATTCTAATCACATCACCTTCTAATTTTTTCAAGTTTTTGTTCCAACTTTAAATTTCTGTTTCTTTTCCCAGAATTACTCTCCCTATTCTTCTATGGTTTTTGTTTAATTTGTATGAAGGTCGCTTAACTACAAATTTCATTGTATTATGTAGTGGAAATAAACTTGTCAAATTTTGGTTATGAAGTAGATAAAAAAATCATGAAACTTTATCCATTTTATCATGTTTGAAGACGGATCTGAGGCGTTTGTGACTTTCTGTTTTATGTTATTGTTTAAATTTGTTAGAGTAATTCTCTCTTCTTTTTTGTATTTTAAAAACTATGAGAGGGTATTACTTTTTGCAAAAAACAGGAATTGAAGCCTTTAGATTTCAGCATCATGATTATTGATTATGTATTCTGTAATTACCATGGAGTATTCATTTTAGCTTTGTTTTTTTCAAACTGAACTGAGGCTTACGCCTCAAGGCATTTTTCTCCACCGCCTCGAGGCTCGTTTTCGCCTTTCAAACCTTGGTGAAAGCCTAAGTCCTTGCGTTGTTCCGGCCTTGTTGGTACCAAAGAAGAACGGTACGTGGAGGATGTGTTGTGATAGCCGAGCCATTAACAAGATCACCATCAAATACAGGTATCCTATACCTAGGCTCGAGGACATGCTGGATGAACTCCATGGTTCTAAGATCTTTTCGAAGATTGATCTCTAAAGTGGTTACCACCAAATCCGTATCTATGAAGGGGATGAATGGAAGACCGCGTTCAAAACGAAGTTTGGCCTCTACGAGTGGTTGGTTATGCCATTCGGGCTGACCAACGCCCCGAGCACATTCATGCGGTTGATGAACCAAGTCTTGAAGCCATATATAGGTCATTTTGTCGTAGTCTACTTTGACGACATCTTGATCTATAGTAAGAGTGAAAAAGAGCACATTAACCACCTCACCTTAGTGGTTAAAAAATTGGACGAAGAGAAGCTCTATGGGAATCTTGAGAAGAGTCAATTCTTCTCTCAAGAAACGGAATTCTTGGGATACTTTATCTTGAGTGAAGGTATCAAGGTGGACGAAAGGAAAACACAAGCCATAAGGGATTGGCCCATTCCCACGTCGATGCAACAAGTACGGAGCTTTCATGGTCTAGCCTCATTCTACTGAAGGTTTGTGCGTGACTTTAGCACCATCACCGCACCCATCACGAACCTCACCAAAAACCAGAAGTTCGAATGGAATCCAAAAGCTCAACAAGCCTTCGAAACCATCAAAGAAAGGTTGACACACGCCCCATGTTAACCTTACCGAGCTTTGAGAAATTGTTCAAGGTGGAATGCGATGCATCCGGAGTCGGGATAGGGGCTGTCCTCTCCCAAGAAGGCCACCCGGTGTCCTATTTTAGTGAGAAGTTGAATGATACGAGAAGGCGATATTCAACTTATGATAAGGAGTTCTACGCTCTTGTTCAGTCCCTAGAACATTAGCGCCACTACTTAATTAGCAAGGAGTTCATACTTCACTCCGACCATGAGGCCTTGAAGTACATTCAAGGGCAACACAAACTCTAGCCCCGTCATGCCAAATGGGTCGAATACATTCAAACCTTCACCTTCACAAGAATGGGTCCATGAACAAAGGAGCCGATGCCCTCTCCCGGAGACACCTCTTACTAACGGCCCTTAGTGCCAAAATTGTTGGTTTTGATTTTGTGCAGGAGCTATACAAAGAGGATGAAGACTTCAAAGACACATTCTCCAAGTGTCTTGTGTGGCCCCACGGAGAATTCCTCGTCAAGGACGATTATTTGTTCCGAGGAAATCAGTTGTGCATTCCGAAATGTAGTCTTCGAGAGACCCTCATCGAAGAAGTACATGGAGGAAGACTAGCGGGACACTTTGGCATCGAGAGACCCACATGATGATGCGTGAACACTATTATTGGCCGAAGATGGAACAAGACGTGGAGCACCACATCAAACGGTGCAACCTTTACCAAATGGCCAAGAGCCATTCCTTAGCCCAAGGAAAGCATCTTCCTCTACCCATCCCCACGGCTCCATGGGAAGATATTAGCCTCGACTTCATCACGGGGGTGCCTAGGACACAACGAGGGAAAGATTCAATCATGGTCGTGGTAGATCGGTTCTCAAAGATGGCCCATTTCGTGCCATGCTTAACCACACATGACGCTTTCGCAAATCGCTGATCTCTACTTCCGAGACATCGTCAAATTACATGGGATTCCTCAAAGCATGTTATCGAATCGGGACAGCAAATTCCTTAGTCATTTTTGGATGACACTTTGGAGAAAGATGGAACCAAGCTCAAGTTTAGCACCTC